GCATAGAAGTCTAAGCCTCTCGTGCTCCACAGACGATGGGCTGTGGAGCTGCCCTTGGAAACATCTTTCATTGGGATCCCTTCCTTGCCCCCGCCACACGTGCAGCTCCCAGAGCCCCTGGAACAGGCTGAGGCTGAGGAAGTTCCTGTGCCTCAACCAGCCCTGCACCAGGGCCAGGATGAGAGGGCCAAGCAAGCAGCCAGCCCATGTCCTCTCCCCTCTTCTAGCTCTGTGTACCAGCCACCTGTGGAGATGTGCCGTTCCTTCCCCTCCTCCCAGGGCATAGCCCAGGAAGACCCTATTGCCTACCAGCGCCAGACGTCCGAGCCCTGCCTCCCATACCCTCATCAGGGCCTCAAGCAGGAGTACCAGGACCTGCAGTATGAGCAAGGCAGCCAGATGGGCAGCAGCCGCCGGTACCCAGCAGCTCTGGTGATCAAGCAGGAGCAGGTGGACTACGTGTACGACTCAGGTAGGAAGAACCAGGCATCAGTGGGGCTGAGCATCCACCACTGATGGCTTTGAAACGCTACTACAGCATCTTCAGGCATTTGTGTGGTCTGGGAAATGGGCTGAGCACGAGGGAAAAAAAAAAAATTGTGGAAACATCTCTCTGGACACCGGATCAGGAGATCCTCTTAACTTTCCACAAGGGATAAGTCTTATGTTTTCAGCAGAGCTGTCCAAAGGCTTCCTACCCTGGCATCACACCACCCTCTTCCAGAGGGAATGTTACTTATGGTCTCCTGGGATTTTAATGGGCATTTTGAACTGTTTCCTTTAGTAGAACTGAATAGATAAGTCAAAAGCTCCTGTGAGGGTACAGAATCCACCGCTGTGGCTATGCTGATATTACACTTTCACTGGGTCTTCCTGTCCAGACAGGGGAAGAAAATGTGCAAACCCAGAAGAATGCTTTTTGTGAGAGTAGTTTATGATTGTAATAACACCCAGTCTGTCAGCCCGGAGCAGCCTCTGCCCTTACATCAGCAAAATAGCTGCTGCGAGCAATAGCTGTACGCAGGGGTCCGAGGGAAACGGGAGGTAAATCCCAGGATCCCAGTTACAGCTCACATTTCAGGAGTGAATGAAAACCAGGTTTGAAACAGAAAACCAAGGTTCAGAAAACACAAGATATGACCTGCAGTGCTCAGGAGCTGCACACAGACCATGAGAAGACTCGCTGCTTGTTGTCAAACTCAGGCTGTTCTTCCCCTTATGTTTTCTGAGCTGTTTGTGAGAACCAGGCGTGAAAAAGCCAGGGAGATGAAGACTTCTGCAGTCACAGCTGCGAGGCGCTGGCTGCAGGGAACACTCAGATGCTGCTGCTCCCCGTTAACATGATCATAGCACCCCTGGGGAAACGTTAATGCCTTCTCACTTGTGGAAACAGCAGCAGAGCGTGTGATGATCTTGCACCAAAATGAGGAGAGGTGCCACACAAACATAGCCCATTGTCCAAGGTTTTGTGGGGAGTGCTGTATGGTGACTGATCCCGGCTCCTCTGAAGGACATCATGGGATAGTACTACTGAATAGGATTCCAGTATACTGGAATAATATGTTCCAGAATACTCCTGGAATTGATGCTTGGAAGTGTGATGAAGTTGTGGTGGGATGGCTGACACATGGAACGTTGTCCATCTGCCACTAACCCTTCAGGAGGACCTTAAGAAAGCGGCACTTACCTGCCCTCCTCTGAGATCAGGCTCCTTCTGCTCCTGTGCTTTTTAATGACACGAGTTTATTTCTTGCTCTGTAGACGTTCCTGGCTGTCCTTCCATGTACGTAAATGTGGAGAGCTACCCAAGCCACTCAAATACAGAAGATACATTAGGTAAGAACCTCAGTGACTGTTGTCTTTTCCCTGCATTGCAGTGCCCTCTGGTACGACCCTGTCTTTGTCTACAGCTGCCCGTGTTGGTTCCTCTTTCAGGCTGCAGCTATGACAAGCAGATGAGGTCCTTCACCGATGACGTCTGTGTTGTTCCAGAAAAATTTGAAGGTTGGAAAAGAACAGCCCGGAGTTTGGGTGTCAGATGGGGTGATTGAGCATCTTTGCCAGCCACTTACCCGCCGGCTGCACAGCTGGTTACACTGTGCTCCTGCAGGGGGGTAGCTGGGGTTCAGACCTGCCTTTGGGGGTCCCATTTCTTGAGCTTTTTTAGCAGCAAAAGGGCCTTCTACCATAAGTAGCTTAATTGTGAGGTTCACCAGAGCTGCTCTGGCAGAGCTGCTGGTGAATTGGCTGCTCTCTTGTGCTTGAACTGAAATACTCCACTTGTGAAACGTGCTTTGTGTTTTGCAACTGCCTTTGGAGCGTCACCCACTTTGTTCTCTCAGCAGGAGACATCAAGCAGGAAGGCGGAGGGTACCGGGAAGGACCCCCATACCAGCGCCGGGGATCTCTCCAGCTCTGGCAATTCCTTGTGGCTTTATTAGATGACCCAACCAATTCCCACTTCATTGCCTGGACGGGTAGAGGGATGGAGTTCAAGCTCATTGAGCCAGAAGAGGTGAAACCATTAAACCATTTAGCTTCTCTACAGGCTCAGGGGAAACAGCCACTGTTCCTGAGGCTGGAAATTCCCAAGTGGCTTTTCCTCTGCGCTGGGAAGGCTCCTGCCTACCAGTGGTATTTGCTCGCCCCTGCAGCAAGTCAGCTGCTGACAGCAAATGAGCTCTATAGTGGGAAGGAGAACGACTCTCACAATATAGGGTTCTTCAGTTTGAGTTCTGCTCTTCTTGTTGAAAAACTGCTAAACTATTACTGTTTGAATCCATTATTGTGTGTTTGTGTCGTGGTACCATTCCTCAAAAGGGAGTCAGCTGGATAATGTTCTTTGGCCCTTGGGTTGGGTTCATGGACATTCATGCACTTGGATGCTTTATTGTGCAGGTAGCCAGGCTGTGGGGTATCCAAAAGAACCGTCCAGCCATGAACTATGACAAGCTGAGCCGATCCCTTCGCTACTACTATGAGAAAGGCATCATGCAGAAGGTCAGTTTGCAAACAGATGGAGGTTTTATGCCTTTAATGTTGCTTCTTGTATTTGAGGTAGGAAGTCTTACAGGTACAGGATGTACTTGAGCTAGGCATGCACCCCGAGCTTTCTTTCCCTGTAGTTTCTCCTTACAGCAGTTAAATGAGGAAGGTGTAAAGGAGCTGAATTCAGGTAACATATGGGAAACAAAGCAAAGAGGAATAAGGATTTCTTTCTTTTTCTGTATATGCCTGCAGCCAGGAGAGTTGGCATTTATGCAGCTGCAAGGATGTATAATCAGTCTAGACTTGCAGTTGGAGAGCAAAAGGCTGCTTGGGGGCTGGTTCTGTGTGGCAGGGATGGTCTCGTCCAGATCCAGAGCTGTGAGTGTAACCACATCGCAGCACAGACCAGTCAGGGTCCGTGGATGCTGTTGCTACCTGGGCAGCATCCCACTGCCCAGGAGCTGCTCCAGGGGAGCCCAGAGCAGCAGCAGGACAGCACCAGGAGAACTTTACGAGTCGGACCGGTCCCGGGGCCACGTGCTGGAGCAGGCAGAGGTTTTGCAAACCTGCCGGGTGCCTGCAGCGCTCCCGCCGTCTCTCCCTGCAGGTGGCCGGGGAGCGCTACGTCTACAAGTTCGTGTGTGAGCCCGAAGCCTTGTTCTCTCTGGCCTTCCCCGACAGCCAGCGGCCAGCGCTGAAGGCAGAGCTGGACCGGCAGGTCAGCGAGGAGGACACGGTGCCTCTGTCGCACCTGGATGAGAACGCCCCGTATCTGCCAGACCTTGGGAGCCTCCCTCCACAGCACTACAGCAAGGGCTACACGTACTAGCGGTGCTGGGAGCACACCTGCCCCCCTTGCTTGTGTACAGTAGAAGCCTGGTTAGTATTCAATCAGTGTAAGCAGTTTTCTGGGCCAGCCTGGGGCGGCACTAAACTGTGAATACCTGCTTTGGTCAGGAAAAGCGTTCAGGTACACGTGTGGGTAAGCACCTGCCAGGGCTCTTGGGGGGTTGTGGTAGGACCCTCCTATTTGTCGGGATGGTGGTTGGGCTCAGTGAAGCAAGACATCTCCTGAGCAGCAGAGCTGCATCCTCTGCAGCATATCGAGCCTGGGGCTATCACACCAGGCTCTGTTACAGATACAAGGATGTTACAGTGCTGCTGCTGATGATCCATTCCTCCTATACATGGACTGAACCTCTGTATAACCTGGCCTCGGTAAGGGCTGTCTGACCCGCATGGACTCACCTCTGCAAGGCCAGCCTTGCCCTCTTCCCAGGATGGCTGCAACCCAGCAGTCGCAGATCATACACCTTGTTCCCTGTAACTGTTTGTGGGGATGGGGAATACTTGTCCTGTACATGCACAGCCCTGCCTCGTCACCTCCTTGCTCCTAACACTTTAGGCCAGGACTAGCTGAGCAGGGCAGCTGGAGGCAGTGGCCAGGATTGCAGCAGCCGCCGTACAAGTCTTTGCTCTAAACAAATGTTGTATTCCCACCCCAGCCTGTAGAGGAAACCCTGTGTATTGATTGAAAGCCTCATTTCCCCCATAGCCTCTCCCCTGCATGGCTAATGCCAACCCTCTCAGCCTTGTCCCTGGGCGTGGGGGCCAGGAAGGCAGCTCTCCCTGCCTGAGACCAGGGACTCAGAGCAGCCTTCTCTGCCGATGCCTTTGTGTGCCCGCTGCAGTCCAGAGACTTGGTGTTCTGGCAGCTCCCGTCCCTCCTGCCCTGCTGAGCACTTCCTCTGCTGTCCCAGAAGCGAGGGGAAGGGAAACCCTTCCCTTGATATAAGCTGCCTTTACTATTTATGAGTGTAAAAAATACTGTAATTAATAAATTGGTTTATGGCTTTGGCCAAGTGCAACTTCATTCAGCCCCTGGCTACCTTAGTCCTCCCTTGCCTTCCGAGCCTGCTTTGCCTGGCTCCTCAGCCCCAGCTTGCCTCTCTGGGGAGCTCATACAGAGAGCTCAAGGATGCTCGTTTACTTCTGAACCACAGTGGAGTTCCAGAAATACAGACCCAGTCCTACAGCCAGGACTGAAGGATCACAATGGAACACGTACCGTGCATCAGGGAAACAGCCCCGGAACCAGGGCAAGGGCAGCACCACCCCGAGTCCTTCTTGCATTAAAAGCAAACAGTCAGGTTTTGACGTGTGTGCATGTACACAGGAAGATGTGAGTTATTCTGCTCTGAATCTGGTGCTTGTGACAACCAGCTGACACATGGACATTGGCCACAGAGATTGAGACAAAGACTGTGTGCTCCATCTGTTCAGATTCACACCTCCCCAGGCAGAATGACACCCCCAACTTTCTAATTCTGTTTAACTTTATGGAGATCTAAAAGCACAGGAAAGCTCAGGGCATTTATACAACATAATAAACCACTATATACAACATCCCTGCCCACCTCTGTACACAGATTTCCCATTGAGCTATTTGCCAGTGTGAAAGATTCTTCAAATCCACAGAGAGTAGAACCTACTCATTTCAACAATGACTATAGCAAATGTCCCAGCTTTGGAAAGAAAAGGAGAAAAATAAAGATTGGATCAAATCTGCAGCTCTGCAGTCAAATAAGTTTCATCTGCTTCAACAGAAACAGTAAGTCACAGCTGCTTCAGCAGACACAGCACACGCTGGACACAGATCCTTTTTAACCAAGGAACTGTTACACAATGGTTCATAGACAGGTGAGCTGTAAGAGCACATTCTAGCCCAAAACCCAACAGTTGTGATGTCACCAAACACTGCAAGTGGAAATAAAACACATGACACATTGTAGAGAAAGGCGAGACATCTGTAAGCACTTATGCTCACAGCCAGAGCCGTGCTGCAGAGGGGATGTGGTTAATTACTGCCTAATACATCAGCCTTCAGCGCACAGGAGAGGGTGATGAAGGATAAGAACTGCAGTCTGACCTGTGCCATTGGCCAAATATGACTGACATCCTAGCCGGGTTTCAAGGGATCTTTTCTGCCTTATCCCAAAGCCACAGATACTAAATATCTCAGCACAGATGGCTTGCATAACAGACAGTTACAATGAACAGGAAAATGCATAAAGTAGGAAAAACGGAGAACAAGCAGCTCCCCCAAACCAGCCACTGTACAAGAGTGTGAGTAGAAATAAATCCTTTTTTCACAGGGTAAAGAAACAAACTATTCCAGCCCACATTTTTCTGCTCATTCAGAACAGAGGCTGGAGAACAACTATTTCCTATCCATTACCCTTCTGTTGCCGTTCAGCTCTGCACCCAGACTGCAGAGTCTTGGGGTTTCTCTCTTAAAAGGAGAATGACCAAGGAACAACGGTTCAAGCACCATGTCAGAACACAGCAGACCCAGGACATCGGCCGTGCAGCTGTGGAAGCTGAGGGGCAGCTGACACGAGCACACATCGCCCCCTTGTGCTTCTGCTCTGAAAAGACTTATTTCCTGTTCCTGTTGGAATCGAGCTTCAACTGAAGGTCCTTTCATTCAGGACTCTTTGCAACAGTGCAGGAGCCTCGGTCCACACATACACACCTGGGGGAAGCAGGCTCAGCGCCGCCTGAATGCACGGGATATCCTCCAGGCATTGGGCTCCTCGTAGCGGTTGTAGAGGGGCTCCAGCCGCTTGCTCAGCTTGGTTGGATCAGAAACCTTGAAGAAAGCTGGAGCAAACTCCACCAGCCAGCGAGGATCAATGGTTGTCACTTCACGCATATATTCCTTGGTGGTCAGCACCAGTTCATGATACACCACCCTGGGAAAAGGGACAGCGCCTCTGAAATCAGTTTCTCCAAACAAGAGAGAGAATGCAAAGGCTGGAGAATGTGAGCTTGCCCCTTTATCTCCCTTTCACCCTCCTTCAGCATAAGGCTCCTTATGCTCCAAGAGAGGCTGCAGAAGAGCTCTTCTTTTTCCTCTCCTACTTCACAACTGCTCTTCAGTACAGAACTACTTCCTTCCACTCAAAACAATTTCCCCTTCCACCCCCTCCCTAACACCCAGCATTTTAAACTCACTTCCACAATAAGAAACACAGAACTGCAGGCTCTGGGCCTGTCCTTGGCTCAGAAAGTCCATCTCACCTCTGCACAGGCACTAATTTTAACTGCAGAAAGAGCTAAAAGCAGCTTTTCTCCCTCTGCTCATTGCTAAGAAAGCAGCAGCCTACACTTTGAATGTACCCCACAAGCAGTGCACACCACGAGCTTCTAACTTACAAAGTCTGAGCTGAAATAGAAAATGACAGGATGCTGCTTTCCTTACCATTCTGGCTGCCTGTTGAAGAGAGCACTGGACGGGTGGATGTAGACAACTTGTTGATCAATGAGTGTCCGATAACCTTCCTGGGGATCCTTCTTTGCTGCATTTCGGAAGAAGCCGCTACAGATGGCTTTCTGGACCCGAACTGTTGCCTTCCCACAGGATACCACATCCAGCTTGTGCCTGCCAGACAAGAGTTAGCAAGAAAATTAGAGTCCTTCAGGCCTGGGTGCAGTTCCCAATGTCAGATCAGCAAATTCTGGGTACCTACTACAGCGTAGGACCAGCAAGAAAGCAAAGTCACCACTTGTCCTTCTTGCCATGCTCACCTGTCCATAATGCCCAGCATCTGCTTGCGGATGTCCTGTGCTCTGCGCAAGGATCGGGCCTGGATGAAGTTTTCATAGCACCAGGGATTTGAAAACTTATTATTCTTCCAGGAGTTGTAGACAGCCAGCAGGGTGAGGTGGTCACCTTCTGTCTGATGGAACTTGGCTTTCTTTTGATCAGCAAGTGCTTGTTTATCCTAACACACAAAATAGCCATCAATCAGCATAGAGACAATCCTTGTGCAACATGGACATGGGCTCCTTGTCACTCATACCATGACATTTTAAGTCTACCAAGAAACAGATGATGTAAGACTGAGAAGACAACACAGAATTTGGAGTGGTGAGTGACTAAGGACCAAGTGATGAGAATCTAAGGGTCACTGGCTCTCACTAAGCCAGACCTGTGCCTGTATGAAAGGAAAGCCCAGAACTGCTCTTGCCAAAAGGGAGACCCCTCCTAAAGTCTCTCCCATGCGTGACAAGGGAGTGACCAGAGGGTGACCAGAGAAGATGAAGAACCTAAATGGCTCATGCATACAGCAGGAAGCATATGCATGCACTGAACCAGTTAGTTTTCCACCACTCTAAAGGCAACCTCAATTACTCATCCACAAAGGAGCTGAAGCAGCAGCTCTGACCCTGCTGACATACCCACCTCTCCCCACATCTCCAATGTGCAGAAACAACATTAATCAAACACTGCAGCTACCCACATCACAATGGAAGTTAGACTGAACTGCAGCAGTTCATCATCATGAAAAATAATGGATTCAAGAAGAATCCATTCTAATCTGCTGTTGAGGAATCCTACCACAGCATAGGCTGCTGCTTGCTGGCTTAAAAGAAATCAGCATAGGGTAGGATAGCCATGATGAAATACATTCTGTGTACCTGAAAATTACCAGGGCACTCTGAACTCCAGAGCTGGGACTGAGTTGGTTTAAGGTTGTATGTGATTACTGGGCAACACAAAAGAGAATGTGAGACTTCCTAACAAAGCTACAGGTTTATTGTGTCAAATATGCTCACTCTGAGGCAGGCCCAGAAAACCCACCCGAACAATAACACTGCTGGTTCCTTACCTTTGGCCTGTAGAACACGTTCTGTACAGACAGCATGGAGACTATTGTCAGCATCTCTTCACTGCATCCCAGATGTACAGACATGATCAACATCTTACACAGCATCGGCTCCAAGGGGAATTCTGCCATCTGCAAGAAACCTGTTTCAAGATACCCTGCAACATCTTGGCAAAACCTTCAGTTCTCTCAGTGCAAAAGAGAGCAGTCGCCCTTTCTTCCTTGCTTCCTTCCCAAAGCAGTGTGCTTTACTCAGAATAACTTTACTCAGCATGAAGCAAATTATCTGT